AGGTAGGTCCTGCCTAGCCCGGCTGCCATCCCAGGGGGACAGGGCTGCTGTGACACTAGAGTCAGAGAGGCCTGGAGTCCAGGCCAGCTGATTGCTGGGTGGGACAGCAGCTGCTCTGGAGACCAAGGGACATGGGGGCAGCGATGTCCCCACCTGCCCTGACTGCTGCAGAGGAGGCTGAGGCAGAGCGTGACTTATTTCTGCTCGCCCCTACTCTCCATTGTTGGTGGCCCACCTGCCCGGTGGCCCGCTGGGAGCTGTGGGTGCCTTTCTCAGCCCTCTCCCCCTCCTCCCCTGCTCCCTGCACAGGCTCCCTTCTCGGGGCGCAGCAGTCAGGTTCCCAGCACACCCCTGCCCAGAGCACTGCACAGCACAGCTTTGCCCTCGGTCACCGTGGTGCTGAGAGCCGAGACCAGCTGAATGCCCCCCTCTGCCCTTGTGTCCACCTGGAAAGGGGCTGGCGTGTTGCTGGGCAGCTGCCTGCCCTCGGATGCTGCCTCTGTGCAGAAGCCGTGATCTCTGCTCGCTGGAAGGAGGCTGCAGCTTCGCTCAGCCCTGGCTGACCCGGTGTGACTCGTCACCAGCCCCTTGCAGGGACAGAGGGGAGCTGTGGGACCTGGCCTTGGGGGCAGGGACAGTGTGGTGGCTCTCTGGGGGATCCTGCCTGGTGCTGGGGAAAGTTATTTCTCAGGCTGATCTCTGCTTTCTGTTGCTGCAGGGTGTGTGAGCAGCCAGCCTCGATGGAGCCACACGAGTGGCCAGATGACATCACCAAATGGCCGGTGAGCATCGCTGGTGGCACAGAGCCCGTGCGGGCAGCTGGAATATGGCATCTGCACCCCACTGAGCAGAGCCACAGCTGTGCGGGTGGAAGGGGGGCGGTCTCTGATGCAGCCTCCTGCTTGTCACAAACACCAGATGAGGGCAGCCAGGGCTCTGTCTAGCCAAGACTCAGAGCCCTCTAACATCAAAAGAGTTCCCCTGTGCCAACTAAAGCCCAGGGTAAGAGGGTGATGGAGACAGGCTCAGCCTCGGGGCTGTTTTCATCTCTCAGTGGTGAGGTGTTGGTTGAGACTCAGGCAGATGGGGTGTCGGGCACCATCCTGCTGTCAGAGGGAGGCCTGGGTCTGCGGGACTGGCTTCTTCCCAAGGGGCTGTTTTGATTTTATGCAGGCAGCAAGCAAAGCCATGGCTGTCTGACTGCAACCTGTTGTCATTTTCCAGATCTGCACAAAAAACAGTGCTGGGAATTACACCAACCACCTTCACATGGACTGTGTGATTACAGGCCGGCCCTGCTGCATCGGGACCAAAGGAAGGTAACGAGTGTTACCTGTATAGGGGGGGCTGGGTGTTGGGGTGGGACACAGGACACCCTTCTCAGGTTGGGGACACGGGCATTTGTCCTCCTTGTCTTTCCCACACGCAGCCCAGAGCCCTGCTGGGAAGGGGAGTTGGGCAGGGAGCCGTGACAGGTCTCCCAGATGGGACAGGGCTCTGGCACGAGCAGGAGATAACAGCCAGCCCGAGCCTTCAGCGCAGCAGGGTGTCTCGCTCAACTGGTCCTGCAGTTTGGAGGGACTCGGATCCCAAGGAATTAAATATTTCTGCTGGGAGCACACTTTTCCTTGGGAGCAGGCAGCTTGGTCCCGACGTTGGCCCCAGCCTGGAGTCCCTGAGCACTCAAGGAGATGTCAGGAAACGACCTGCTCTGGGTTTGCCAAGCAGGAAGATGCTGTTCTTCCTCATGTTGCTCCTCAGCTTGAGTAGTTACCAGGTGCTTGGGCCTGGCGTTCCCTGCTAGGGAGAAAAATCAGTGTTGCCCCAAGGAGTTTCTCTGTCCCTGAAAGTCACGACCAGGACACTTTTGGCCTAGTCCCTGCTTTCTGTCAGCCCCAGAGACATGGCTTGCCCAGCCTCTGGTGGTTCTTTCTCAGCTGTGAATAGCTCAGCTTAGCACTTGTTCTGGGGCCCCTGTGTGCAGGGCGTTAGTCTGCAGAGGTGCCTGTGGGACAGGAGCAAGCGGGGTGTATGGAGAGTGGCCCTGGGCTCCACGGCAGAGCTCGCTGGCACTGGGCTCCCTGCAGAGACACTGCAGCACGGCCGGGGCAGCCGCAGGCGTTGGTTCTCTCTCACAGGCAGGCTTGGGCTGAGACTAGGGGGAGCAGGTGGCCTGGGAGGGCACAGGATGTGACTTGTTCCTTGTTTTGATTACTTGTGCCTCCTCCAGGTGTGAAATAACCTCCCGGGAGTATTGTGAATTTATGCGGGGCTATTTCCATGAGGAGGCAACGCTCTGCTCTCAGGTAAGTGTGGAGCTGGGGGGGTGTAGGGCTGCCCTTCTCCCTCCTGTTCCCCTTGGCGAGATCTGGGGGTGACTGTGCTGCAGTGCAGGTGGGAGTCCCGTGTCCCATCCCTCGCTGAGCCCAGGGGGAGTTGCCGATGCAGACTGCAGTGGCAGAGCTGGCTGCTTCGGTCCCTCTTTGGAGACCAGTTTAGGACTTGGGCTGGCAGCTGCGAAACCCCAGCACAAGCAGCAGGAGAACACAACCTGCCTGCTCCAGGGGCGAGCACGGGCGGATGTCTCAGCTGTGTGTGAGCTGGGGTGAATGAGGGTAGGAAGCTGCGGCAGGGAATGGGTGGGGTCGTGTGTAACTTGCTGTTGGAAACAAGGGTTGGGACCCGGGGGGGGACAGCCCCTCTCCCAGAGGCAGCAGCAGTCTCAGCCCTGGCCCTGGCTGGGGCCGTGCTGGCTGGCACAGCTCACAACCCGCTTCTGCCCCAGGTGCACTGCATGGACGACGTCTGTGGGCTCCTCCCTTTCCTAAATCCAGAAGTCCCTGACCAGTTCTACCGCCTCTGGCTCTCGCTTTTCCTCCATGCTGGGTAAGCAGAGGTGTTAAAACTCCCACTCTCTGGCTGGGGGAAGCCTGAACCCTGGGGTTGCCATGAAGCTTGTTCTGGCAGTTCTTCCCTGGGGGACATAGGGCACTGAGCTGTTGTCCCTGCTGAGGTTTACCATGCTGTGTTTGCTGGGAGGGAGATGAAAGGCGGGCGAGGCCAGAGCAGGAGCCCTCAGCAAGGCTCCCTGAAGACCACAAGCACAGGGGGTGACTTCAGTGGCTGCTGCTTCAGCTCCTGTACTCTGAACTTGGCAGGATCCTGCACTGTCTGGTTTCGGTGTGTTTCCAAATGACGATCCTGCGGGACCTAGAGAAGCTGGCAGGATGGCATCGCATCTCCATCATCTACCTGCTCAGTGGCATCACTGGGAACCTTGCCAGTGCAATATTTCTACCCTACAGAGCAGAGGTGGGTCACCTGCAGCCGAGGGTCCTGGTAACTTGCCCTGAGCACAAGCCTTCTCTACATGCCTGTGTCTCTCTGGCAGAGGCAGAGACACCAGAGCTGGGCTCTTCTCTGCAGCACGTGCCTTGTGCAGATTGGTAGCTAGAAGACAGCATCACACCATCATCTAAACATCCCCCAGAGTACCTTGGGCTTCCCAAGTGACTGGCCTGGTCTGGCTGCAGTAGGAAGGCTGCTGCTCGCAGTGAATGGGGGGTTTGTCCAACCACAGGGTAAGAGAGGCCCCGGGCAGGCTGGGAACTGAGAGCTGTAGGTGCTGCCAGAGCCCCTCCATGTGTGAGTGACAGGCAGGAGAGGGGGCAAAGAGCAGAGCTCACCTTTCCCCCAGACTGTCCAGGACTGTCCCTGCCACTACAGGCCACAGTGGGAGACATCTGACTATCCAGCTTCAGCTGAAAGAGTGCCTGGCAGGACCTGGAGGACTATCTCCCAGGTCCTTCAAGGAGGAAAAGTGCAAGGTGGGTGGGGGGAGCCAGGAGATTGCCTTCAGGGGCTTCTCCCCTCCGGTGACTTAAACCAGAAGTGCCCTCCTTAAATATAAAGTCTGTTCTGGTGATTGCTGGCCTCACAGCTACCCTGATCCTAAATCAAACCAGGCCCCTTCACTCCTTGAACCCCATCACAAGGATGGAGTTGCAGGCTGCAGCATCTCTTTCCCAAGAAACACTGAACAAGGAGCCGAGGAACAACCGGAGGCGGCCGCGGCAGCGCCTGACGTGACCTGTACTGCTCTTCCTCTGCAGGTTGGCCCGGCGGGATCCCAGTTTGGGATTCTGGCCTGTCTCTTTGTGGAGCTCTTCCAGAGTTGGCAAATCCTGGCACGCCCGTGGAGGGCTTTCTTCAAGCTGCTGGCTGTGGTGCTCTTTCTTTTTGCCTTTGGCCTCCTGCCCTGGATTGATAATTTTGCTCACATTTCAGGATTTATCAGTGGTTTCTTCCTCTCCTTTGCCTTCCTGCCCTACATTAGCTTTGGGAAGTTTGATTTATATAGGAAGCGATGCCAAATTATAGTTTTCCAGCTCATCTTCATTGCACTCTTCTCAGGACTCGTGATTCTGTTCTATTTCTACCCCATCAAGTGCGAGTGGTGCGAGTTCCTCACTTGTATACCATTCACAGACAAATTCTGCGAGAAATACGACCTGGACGCACAGCTCCACTGAAAGGCAAAGACTGCTTTCTCGAGCAGGCACTGGAGATGGACTGTCTTTGCGTTTGCTGTGCCAGTTCCACGTGGACAAAGCCTCTAATCCAATGACACTTCTAACCCTGCCCGTGGTTAATTTAAACTGTCTCCTTAGCACTTGGCAGGCATGTTTTGCCTTATCTCAGAAGACTCTGAAAACAGAACGTTTGTGCCTTGTTCAATTGTATTGAACCTTTTCTGCTGCCATTATTTTTATTACACTAGTTTCAATACTACATTTTTAACCAGTTGTTTACTGCTAAGGTGGTGATTAAATGGTAAAGTAGCGTTTTAGCTACTGTTAATTGTTCTGCATGGTCTGTGGCTACGTTTGTTACTTTATCTCACCTGTGCTGTTTCATGTCCTGGTACCATCAATCTTTTCTAACATGTGAAACAGGCAGATGCAGATTTGCAGCTGGAAATAAGAGCCTTAAAAGCCTCAGAAAACTACAGGATCTCTTTAATCACTGAAAACACATTCCACATACAGCTCAGAGGCAGACATTTCAAATACCACCTGCAAAACCCATGAGAATGTCCATTCAACTGGAGGTTGTTTCTCTTTGAAATGTTACAACCTCTTCCTCCAGGGAAGTGCTGAATCCACAGTCTGGTCTTGGTACGGCTGGATTCTCTGCTCTCTCTGCTAAAGAAAGAAAACGGGTGGCAGTGACAGGAGTTGCTGCGTGCTGGGCTCTCTCCTCACCACAGCACCCTGTCAGAGGCACGGTGGGGTGGATGGCTTCTGTTACAGCACATCTCATTACGCTGGATGTTGCAAATGTGGCAGCATTGAAAGAAAAAAAAAAAAAAAAAAAAAAAAAAAAGTTACAGTGGTCACAAAGCAACAGTTCCTAACCCAGGTAAGCTGGAGCCACAAAAAAACCCAGGCGTTTGCAAAAGCTGCTCTTCAGCCACTGTGATTGTGTTTTTAGAGGTAGAGGAGAAGCAACCAAACCTGTAAACTTAGTAAGCTTGAGAGTCTGGGCCACATCTTGTGTTTGTGTGCACAAGTTTCTAAAAATAGCAACATAATACCAGAATTATGTCAGCATAGGTTACAAACAAGTAAATACACATGCTACTGGTGCTTCCTGTGCCAGAAGCGTTCCTAAATGCATCAGTTGCACAGAAATATCATGACCTAGAGTTGGCCAGTGCTGTCTTGTCTTCTGAGAACAATGAATTTGTTGACCTCAAAAGTTTCTATAAATCAGAAAATGGAGAAACTGGGAGTTAAAAACTACGGGATATTGTAAGCTCACATCCCTTTTCCTAACTCAGCCTGAAGTAGTTGAGAAAAATGCCTCAAAATACACTCGCTGTGGCATAGCAAAGATGGGGCTGTGCCGGGTTGCACCCCCGGGACGGTGCCGTTTGTTACCTGCAGGTGCTCTGACAGTACAGGAGCAGCAGGAGTGGGGTGGGAGAACAGTCACTGTGTGTGGGTCAGGGGCACGCGGAAGGACCCACAAGAGCAGGGTGATGGCAGCTGCCCGAGCGATTAGTTAACACCCAGCCCCATTCCTGACTGCGATTTCCAGGCATTCAAGAGGCCTAAAAGCAAGCAGGGCCCTAGGAGCAATCAACAGCAAACGAAGGGACAGCGTTTAATGAGCCTCAGCGTGGGAGCACATTCAGAGTCTAAACACAAAGCAGGGTTAACGACACACCACTGCCAGCACCACGGTGTTGCTGTTCCTGATGTGCATTAACTGAGGTACCCGAGTTATCATTCCCTGCCCTGAGAGAAGCACAAACACAACCAGGGTGTGGAAATAACCACAGCCAGGGCACAGGCCTACTGCAGACACGGGCAGTCAGAAACGCTCTGCTACGCTGCAGAGAGCAGCAACACCAGCTGCTACGAGCCTCAACACTAAGGCCCGAGGACGAGGAAGATGTGGTTGCTCTCAGTGGCTATTCAGGGCTTACCTGACAGGTCACTTCCGAAGTTTCTTTATGAAGCTGACCTCATCCCGGTTTCGGATGCCGTACCTGAACAGAGAGATTTGCTGTTTGCCAGTTTCCCTGGAACCTCTGACACCCACAGCTGCCTCCTTCCCAGAGGAGGATGGACTCCTACCATCCCATCCTGTGTTCTAGGGCAGACAAGTTAAAAGTTTTCACTTGTGCACAGAACATACTGCCAGCACTGAAGGATCTGACCCTCTGCCTTTTTAACTGCAACCCCCTTAAATGCAACATCTATTACCCGTGGCTCAGTCTTCCGAGGACAGCTTTGAGCAGGGCTGTCTTGCTAAATTTTTAATGCTTCAGACAAGCTTTTCTTGCTGGTCCGCACGCAGGCTGCCATACCCAGCACTGCCGTATGCAACAGCTAGAGCCCACAGAAGCGTCTCCTGCCTCCCTGCCCTGGCGGATGGGATCACGGGAGTCACTTGTCAGTGTTACTGGATTGTCTGTGGTAGGTGGCTGAGCAGGTCCGCAGCCCAACACACTTGTCCTTAGTTTGTTTTTTGCTTGGCATTCTTCCATCCTCTTTCCTACCTATTTCCGTCCTCCTCCCACCCCAGTGGCTTGGCCAAGCCCGCCGTGAAGGTGACTGAGCATGGGACGGGGTGCAGTTTGCCTTCTCAGCAAACGCCCAACTGGACACAGCCCTGAGCAACCAGCTCCAGCTGACCCTGCTCGTGCAGAGGGTTGGACTAGGTGACTTCCAGAGGTCCCTCCCACCCCATAAGGTGTCCCCATCCTCTGCTGAGCAGCGGCTCCCCAAGAGCTCCCTGTTTCCCTAGCACTGGTGTGCTGCACACGCATGGGGCCAGCCCTGGCCGCCTCTGTTCCACTCTCCTCACGCTCATGCTGCTTCTCACTCATCTCGTCTCTGCAGGATCCCCCAGGCACAACCACAGTAAGCATAAGCTCTCGGGCAGGCGCTGGGCAGGAGTGCCAAGGGGCAGCACGGCCATGACTCGGGTAACAGTGCCCAGGAGGGCGGTGGCTGAGGAGCCGCCCGCGGGCTCCGTGTCCTGACGGCCCCTCAGGCTCTCGGGCAGCACCGGGCTCGGCTCCCACGCGGTTTGAGGCGCAGGACCTGTCCGAGCCGGGGCACAACGTCCCCCAGGCCCCACCTGTGGAGGGGCCGGGTGGGCTCCAGCGAGGCCCCTCCAGCCCCATCTCTCACTCACTCACTCTCTCAGCTTCTTCCTGTCGTCCGCCAGTTTCTCTCCGGCGTAGGTTAAGTGGTACGTCCGCCATATGTACTTCCTGGGGGGAGAACACTGAGGGGGAGCCGCGGGACGCGCCCCCG